TAAACCCGACTTCAGTGTGGACAAATGTGAGTTACTAATTTTGGAATTAAGTTTTTTTTTTTAATCCTTTCTAGTTAACTTCTAACCAAAGAATTAGAAATGTATCATTTTCCTAACCAAATCGTTCATTTATAGACACCAAGCAGCTTGTGAAGGAATGTGTTGGCGGGGCAGATTTGCAACAGCGCAAGAAGGACATTCAAGTGTACAGCGACCAGACGTCAGCAACGCTGAAAAAGTCTGTATACGCCAATTATATGCAATTTATCGAAACTGCAAAGGAAATTTCCCGTAATTATGCATGTCATGAGAATATTATTCTTAACTGAAACATTCACTTTCTCCAGATCTCGAATCCGAAATGTACCAGTTGTCGCATATTCTTATCGAGCAGCGCAACATACTTGCTTCACTTACAGATGAGAAAACCCCTGGTAATACCCAGTCCAATGAAGAAGGGGAAGAACAGCCTACGCAAGAGGAAGTGGAGAATAGCCATGCTACACGCGCTGTAAAGGAAATGGTGCAGGGTTTCAATGGCAATCTTGAGGGCAAAACTTTTCTAAACGAGGGTGCCCTTATTGAGCTGGATGCAAATGATTATAGGCCTATACAGCGAGTATTTTTCTTTTTATTCAACGATGTGCTAATCGTATGTAAAGTGAAACATGATAAGTATGTAAGAAAAATGGAGCAATGGCAGCCAACTAAAACAAAAATTCATTTTACAGGCGCTTAGAGTTTCTCACAGAGTACGATCCCAAGAAGATTGCTGTAATAAATATTAAAGATTTAGATGGCGTTCGCAATGCTATAAATATAATAACACCAGATGGCTCAAAGATTTTTCAAAGTGTCACAGCTGCAGGCAAGGTATGCGACTTTTAAATTAACGTTCCCACGACAGTCGGGTCTACGTAACCGGAACGACCCAGATTTATATCTGGCCAAGGACTGTCACTCCAGCAACACTCCCAAAAAAGTTTTTGGGGAATTTGTATGCTGCTACAACAACAACAACAACTTTTAAATTAAATTTAATATTTATAAATATTATGAAGTAACCAATGATGTACAATCTCTATATAGACGGAATGGATTGAAAAATTAGAAGTAGCCTTTCGTTTTGATCAGCAAAAGAAAGCGAACAAAAAGGGTCCAGCGCCACAGCCACCAAAAGCCAGACAAAAAGATTCACCCAGTGACGCTAAGTCGCTGCTCTCCGATCTCAGTCCAACTGAATCTCAAGCTGGCAAAGTAGTAGAAAACTATGGCCCCGAATGGATTGCGATTGCCAGTGAAGAAATACAAACACTTATTGCACAAAGGCATTTCGAAGATGCGCAAGCGCTCATAAAACGTACGCAAGAATATTTAACAAAGGATGCAAATTTTGTAAATGCAAAACAAATCGCCGAGAAGGTGAAGGCACTGGAAACACAACTTACCGATGTGCTGCTTCAGGAGCTTTCCAATTGTCACTGTCGCAATCTGCAGGTGACGCTGCGTGCCTCGCGGCGTTCGCTAAAAATACTTGTCGATATAGGACGCGCACGACAGGCTTGTGGCACGCTACTTAAAGTGGCCACAATGGCGCTACGCACAGCACAGCGAGAGGCGCGCCGCAATAACGCAGAAATATCTGAGTTATTCTTCTGTGACTTGACGCAGGTGGCTTGCGAATTTTTGAGTGCATTCGAGACACAACCGGCATGTGTGAGCGGTAGGTGGTGCTTGGGATAAATATGAATAGCGTTATTTTATAGGTTTTTGTTTCTGTTTGCAGCGCTCGTTGTTTGGTGCAATGCGGAATTGCAGTACTTTGCCAGTCAACTAATAAAGCATTATCTTACAAAAGGCACACACCTAGACGCTGTTGCAAAGTGTATTGAGGGCATACGCAAACCGTGTGCAAAGGTGCGTAGCCCAAGCTAATTTCAAAACAAAGTACTATTACCTTTTTCTCTTCACTCACTGCTTGCCCTTTACAGCTAACTGAAATCGGCTTGGACCTTTCCTACCATCTTGAGGGCCTCTTACGCAGCACGCTAGAGTCTTTAATTGAGGAATCTCGTGTGCGTTTGCTAGAGACTGTTGGGCGCAGTGAAGACAGCTGGCAGCCGTACAATTTACAAACCAAAAGCAATCTTAAGCGTTTGCTATTGGAATTAGACGCACTTGGCTTTGATATGCGCACACATACAACTGGCGACACCTGGATTAACCTTACACAATCCACAGTGATGTTTACACGGCATTATCTGCAGTTGACGGCGCAATGCGCCTACTTGGCTAAAAGTGAAGTGCTATGGCCAAGTTTGGAGGTGCTATTACGAGATCTAATGGTGGCGCAACAAGCAGTAAAGCCGGTGGCGGGCTTGAGTGTCGATGTAAGACTAAAGCATACATATATGTACATACATATATATATTCTTTGATATTTCATTGCAAACTTATTTTTGTCTCCATTTTTATAGCCTAATTTTGTGCTGAAGAATAAACTATTTCTACTTGAGGAGCTGCTGCCTACTGCAATTGATAACTTCCGCCTCATAAGCGGCAGCGAACGAAAATGTGAAATGCTGTTGGAATTGCAGCGTCAATTGCGCAAGCAGCTGGCGCCCGTGCCCAAACAACGGAGTGTCTATCAAACAGATGTGTTTTAAAGTTTTTACATTAAGCACAGAACCTAAAGTATTCTAAACGTTTCCCAAACTTCTAAATAAATACATAAATTAAATACGCCGATATGCATTTTTTTCGTATTACTTTGATTACACATATACTTTTCCACTTTATTATCATTATCATTTTAATGATTATTAATAGTTTTTTTTTTTAATTTAAGTTATATAATAATTATGTACATAGATAACCACATTAATTAATATTAATTAATCAATAATAATCAATTATCCGCTGCGTTTTTGCGCAAAAATCTAATTTATTTATTTATTGGTTGTGTAGCAATCGTTTGATATTGCGCTTTTTTGCTTACGTGTTTCAATATGACTTTCTTGCTTCATATATAGTATGTCTACTCTATATATATGCGCTGTTGTATTCTTTAAAATAGTTTACAAAACATTGCAAAAAAAAATATAATAATAATCGCATAACGCACCTGATTGGGGCGTTCGTTCATTTCAAGTTACAATTACAGTGTGTATAATTAAAGCAGTGTCAGTTTATAGTGGAACAATAATGCGCTATACTTTCAATGCTTGCGATTTTTTTTTTTTTAATTTTTTATAGCTTTTTACGAATGTAAAATTTATTTATTTTTTCATTTTCTTAATAAAAGTACACAGTTTTTATTCTTATACATCCTATATATACTTTTTTTTATATACTTTAAATATAAACTATGTATGTAGCCTTTTCACACGTTTTGTTGCAATTAAATTTTTTTTCGATTTTTGCCTTATACATGCATAATATGTAATGTATGTATGTTTTCATTCATATGCGCTCAACTTAATCGATGTGTAAATGTGTTGCCCATACACACGCCTGCGTACACACATTTGAATACCAGTTGCTGATGCATCGGGAAGGCAATTAAGTACTTAGTTCGAAAAGTATTGAAATTAATTACATTCGAAATATTTTCAAATTGCTGTATAGTTCATGGTTATGGTTACTACTTAAAAAATATGTGTTGAGCTAGAAAAGTGTCCAAAAAGTTGTCGCTATATACTTAAAAACCTTCGGGCCCCTATTCTTGTTTTCGCAAGAATAAAATATGCTGAGATTTTTGCATAATTTTCTGCACAAAATTATCAAATTCTCGATGCCGGCCATTTATAAACCTTAGAACTATACGAAAAGCTCGTGTTACTTTTTATGAAAAAGCATCTGAGTTCTGTGCGAAAATTTGGGCGACATCAAGCGTTCGAGAAACAAAATTTTGACAATGAGTTGCTCATCATTGGCACATCAAAAGCAACATAAAAGTTCTTACTGCGCAACATCTGCAGCATTTCAGAAGATTTTCAGTTGAGCATCAGCAACAAGGCTGCAATATTGCCGTGATTATTACGTAGCTCGAACACACCCACCCAAAGTTTTTAGCACAGGTACAGTGGTGGACAAAAAAATTAGCACATATGGTTGTAGAGACTTTAAAGTTCCTATTGTATTATACAAGTAGGTATGTATTAGGTAGGTTCATTATTCTGGCTGTAAGTAAAATGAGAAGTGTAAAAATTACAAACTGATTGATTCCCTATTTTGGTTCTGTCGTGCCAAAACTTAAGTATATGCAAAATAAAAATAAGTTTCACAAAAACGGCTATCGATAATTTTCTTCAAAAAATGCTACACACGATATTTATATAACAAAAAAGACCACTGTTATTAGTTGCTATCGGAGTGGGTCAGGGTGTGTTTGAGCTACATAATTACTGCAATGATGCAACCACGCTGCTTTCTTGATCCTCAGCCGGGCATCTACTGAAAAGCTGCAGAAACTGCTCAGTACAAGTTATTCGTATTCGCCAAAATTTTTACAAAAACTCGTAATGATAAGCACCGCATTAAACGGATTAGTATCTAGTACCGATTCAAAACAATTGAAGGCAACAGCAGTGAACTTCAACAAGCAAATAAAGAGTTGAAATAAGAGGGTCTGTTCGAGGTATTACTGCCGCAGCGGATGAAAATTTGCAACACTGTTGCAACTGCCCAAATGATAACACGTTGCTAGAGACGTTGCTTCACACTGATACTTTAATAGTTCACTCAACACTGCGGTTGTGATTGCAACTCGGAACAAGCCCAGACCCCGCTTGCAAAAGCCAGACTAACCGTTGTTCAACCAAGACGTCACATTTGACAGTTAAAATGCAGAAAAGCCGATAAACCGTTGTGCAAGGGGTGTCGAATTATTTGATGGTGTTTTCCAAAGAATCGAATCGCGGCGTTCGTGATCGAACGATTGATTGCTCGTTTAGAATCGATGGCAGTTGATTTCTTCCCAATACAATTTAATGACGAAGAGCTGTCGTTCTTAAACGCCGTCGTCTCGAAATCAAATTTTATTCGACTTACGTATGATATCGAATGCCCGATTTGGGTCCTGGCCTGATATGTAAATATATGGAAATACAAAAACACAATTAAATACCAGAAGCTCTTACTGCAAAATCTGATCCCTTCAATTGATGCGCATTTTCGCCACATGGACCAGCTCATCTTTCAGGTGGACTCTGGACCATGCCACCAAGGTAAATCGAAAAGTAATATTTTTTTTTCTACGTATTATGTAATCTTGTTGCCTTTTGTAATCTAGCAAAATGTGGTTCGTTCACTATTTGATTTTTTAGGTAAAAAAAAAATTATTAAGCAGAACTGGGTGTTTTACCGTTGGGACTGGTCTGGTTACAGTCACGGGACTGCAGCACTTCATAGGTAATCAAATGATGTCTAAAAAAACGAAAAATACACTCCTCTGAAACATATTTTCATGTTGCTAATGCTTGCAACTAGTCAAGCTATCAAAACGAACGAACATCAAACGAACGAACTTATTTTTTCCAAAGCCATATGATCTACAGGGCTCGCTGATCTCACTGCAAATTATCTCGCCGCCAAGAGTTGCTCACAGCAACTATAAACCAAAATGTCTGCAGGTGTGTGGATTTTGTTTAGTCAATTATTTATATATATGTATTTATATATATATCCTTTTTATTTATTATATATTTCAATTAAATTTACGCTTCGCACTCGCCGATTTTACATTATTATTTTTCTTGTTTTGTGTGCAAATGTAATTGCGTTACTTAATTACATAATGAATAAGCTTTATTTCTTATTAATCAAATTTTAATTACTATATATAAGTATTTATATTTATATAAATTTATTTATATTTCAATGCGTTTGCGTGTGTGTGTGTGTGTAATATGTAATGTATGTATGTATGGAAGCTAGGAAGAACAATAAGCTAAAAAAAAAAACTACAAAAAAAAAAAACATTTATGAGCAAAACCAACAGCTGAAGAAATGTATGCGTGTGATGGTGGGAACGAGGTGATGGAGAGTGATTGGGAAGATGTCAAGCGGTTTAAGCGTGGCGGGGGGATGATGCGAGTGTACATTTGTATGTATGCATGTACGTCGATAGCTAACACAGGTTTTGTTCAAAATCAAATTCTTAGGCTCCTTTATTTTTGCAATCATTTTTTTTTTTTTCATTTTCGCACCCCACAACCGCATTTGATTTTCACTATCTGTTGTTAAATTCTTTTCTTCCAACTACTACGCGCATAAAACGTACATACTTATTTTATTTGTGTATATTACGTTTTACTTTTAACTACAAATTTAATTAATTTAAAGTTTAAGTTCTTTCTTGTTTTTATTAATTTTCTTATCATGCACAATCGTACGCACTTAATATTACACAAGAAGATATACGATAAAAACTAAAAGTAAAATAAAATATCAATGCGCCGTAAAATGGGCAAAAAAAATAAGTAATTAACATTAGTCATTAAGCGTTTATATACGAAGGAATGAAAAAATGTATACAAAAATATACAAAAAAAAAAACTCTAAGCACAAAAAAGGCAAACAAAAATATAAACATTTGTAGTGGAGGAGATTGTGGCCATTTCGAATAGTAGCAAAAGTAAGAGGTTAGATTTTTCAAAGCAAGACATTTGAAAACCCATTTGAAATAAAAAATGCATAACTGAAAAATTACAGTTACTAAATAAACATCAAATAATGACGCGGCTGAGCAACGATGAGGTAAATTGCTGATTGGCATGGCCGCCGGCTATTTTCTATGAAAGTATGTTGCGAAGAAGCAAACGAAGAGTTTCGGGCGCTGAATCAGACCGCATTAAGTCAACGTTCTTTACAAACAGGCCGCACACGTAGTGAAGTAACAAAGCGAAGTGCCGTAAGGAGCGTTGGAAATTAGATTGTTCCATGTATAAGGAAATAAATACATATATATTGTCACCTGAAATGCAAAAAGGCGTAACAACATCGGAAAAGAAATGGAAAAAGTCTCGACTAATATAAATTTTTTTTTTATAAAATGATGTGGGGAGTTGCAATTCGATGAAATCCATCATATAAATCAAAAAGTGAATTTGGAACTTTTTATTAGTTATCGACTTTTTCCATTTCAACGATGATGTTTGTTAGGTCTATTTGCATTTCAGGTCACGATATGTATGTATCTAAACGCATGAAGCTCAGAATTGAGTGAAAGAAATGTTTTGTTACAATAACCAAACACAGGCAATAGAAGTGCAATTAAAATCCCTGAACATAAGAAATTTTAAATAAATATACATATGTATAATTTTTCGTTTGTGTTTCTCGTTTTTTTTTGTTGCTTGTTTGTTGCTTTTTCTTAACATTCCTTTAGTAATTTGCATAATTATACATACTTTGTGATAATAAAATGTTTCAAGTTGATTGCTCCTTTTGTTGTTATTGTTGTATTGGTAGTGGCATTCATTGCAGTTGTCGTTGTAGTAGCTGTGTGCCAACGCCACCCTACTGTGAGCAACAGCAATAAGTAAATATAGTATAAAAATTTTGGGTAGCCCTTTTCTTAGTTGGCGGCGCGCTCGATTAGACACTAGCGTTGATCTCTACTTAACTCCGCCTCCACCACGTGGCTCACTTAAAAGCCGAGCTCATTACAAACAAGAAAAGTTTAACTGCTCTCGGAGCTGCACTCTTCAGGCAGCTACATTCATACTTCTTTATTCTTCATCTGCTTAATCTAAGATGTTGCTATATATTTTTTGTTTCTTTTCAATATATTTAATTTAATTTCTGCTTTACTCTTGCTGCGCGTTTGTATGCTTAGTTTTTTCGTTTATTTTTATGTTTTTCTCTTGTCTCTTTAACTTTAGTTTACTTACAGCTACTTATAATCTACAATTTGTTTATTTTATTATTTATAATTATATATTTTCAATTATAACTCGTGTTCTTCGTTTTATTTTCATTTTTTCTTTTATCTTTTGTTATCCTCCTTTGCTTAAACCACTGTTTGCTCTTTAAGTTCAGCTACATCTCTCCATGCTCTCTCCATGTGTATGTCCGTTTATTATATCAATATATTCTTTTATGCCCGAAATTTCCTGTGCTTTAGTACTCCTACTAATCAAGTGATTTTTTCTGTTTTTCTTATTCTTATTTTGCTTGACTTTGCTTCTCTCGAGTCCTATCGAAGCCACTATGTAGAGTGCGAATTAAGTTTGTGTTCTTTTGCCCTTTCGCAACGGCATTTGCATTCACGTTGCACTCACACACATTTTACATTATTCTTTATGCAACTTATTTGCGTAGGCTCATTTGCATGTATATGTGTGTGTTAGTGTATGTATGTAGCAGTGTGGATATTTAAATGTTTGCACGTAAGAAAACATTGCGTTCTTTTTCTCCTTATTCTTCTTTAGATGATAGCAAACTTTTACAAAAGAAAACTTATTAGTAAATAACTTCGTAAACCGTTGCTTTTTTTGTCGCCGGAGCCCGTCACTATGTATTTGTCATCGGTTGATATGTCGCAGCTAAGTACGGATGAAGTTTCTTTCGACTGTAGATGTGAGTTAGAAAAAATGGCATGTTTGTTTAGCATAAATGCATGTCAATGTTGGTAATAATTTCGGGCACTAAATTAAAACTGAACTCACCTGGAATATGCTAGCGCCATAAGGTGTTCGCCAGGCATTCAATAGATTATCCTTGCCAGTGGAGACGAACCATTTGCCGCAGGTGGCAAAACGCAATGAGAGCACACAGCTTTCATGCAGATGCAGCTGATATTTGTCTGGTTTGGATGCGTGCAACACTTCAACATGCGAATTCTCCATACCCACAGCGAGCCATTCGCCTATTGAATTAGATTAGAGTATAACAATGTCTCAATTCTACCGAAATTTCGTCATTTACCTGTCGGACAATAGCCCAGCGAGAATATTTGAGAACTGAAATCGTGTTGCTGCAATTGCCGTCCCTCACGCAAATCCCATGAACGCACCGTATTATCTAGTCCGCCAGTCCACAGACGTGAACCATCCGGACTGATGTCGATGCATGAGGCGCCATCAGTGTGTCCTTGGAATTGACGCACCAGTATTTCATTGTGTAGATCCCAGACGGCTATATTGCCATCGCTACAGCACGAGAAGCACACCTTCGAATCGGGACTTATGGCGAGCGCATAACAAGCCGGCGCTGCCGATGTCAATTCGGCTTTAATGCGTGGCGTCGGACTGGCCAAGTCCCATATGGAGAGATTAGACGCCTCGCCGCCCACAATTAACGTGCGACCATCGGGCAGTAATTTAACGGAGCGTATATAATTGTCACGTTGCAGACAGTCCAATTGACTGACTGGATTTTTATTGTTCGGCTGTGAGATGTCCCAAACTTTAACGCAGCCTTTGCCGCCTGTATAAACGTACTTCGTGGGATTCGAAATGGTGACGGCACACACGACTTCGCCGTGTGATAGAGTGTTGATTTGTCGGGCGTGTCGTGGTATACCGACACCGACCAGTGCGTCTGAAGGGAACGGCACTGGCTGTAAGCTGCCTTCGCCGTTCATGTGGAACGAATAAGCACTGCAAGGGAAATGAGTTGTAAAATTCAATTACAATTTTAAATCTATTGTAAGTTTGTATATTTTTGAAGTAAAACTTCTTTACCGGCAAAACGTGCTACTGAGCAATTTGGAGTAAAAAATAAATTTTAGGCTTAGATTAAAACTAATTAATCCATTAGCATTGTCACAACATCAAAATGTATTATATACATTTCTGCAGAATGACAGGTCTAAAAAAAAAACAGAGATCTTTCGCTTTCGTATTCTTGGCAGCACGCTATTTTCTTTTTTCTTCCTTTTTTGAAAATAAAATGTATGCAATGAGTTTACTTACGGCTTTCCACCAGTTAACGCTTGAGGATGTGGAATGCCATTTGTTCGTACGTGCGCATGCGGATCGTAGGGTAGTGGTGGCGGTCGACCATATGCCGGATCGGATGGTGGTCTTTGATAGGGGTCAGCAGGCCGCTGATATGGAGAGGCTGGATAACCAGCTGGCGGTGGTCCGCCTTGTGGCATCAGCTGTTTGGGATTTACGCCCGGTGCTGGTGCGGCAGCATTTGGGGTGGGAGTGCGTGCCTTGGCGCCCGGTGTGCCTGGCTTGTCCATCTGTAGAAGGGTGAAAATTCAAAAATTAATATGCAATTAGAAAAAATATTTAAATGATGGTCAAAAAGTCTTGAGAGCTCACATCTTTAGTTTTTAGGCTGGGAGTTGAACGCGAAGAGCTGGAGCCGGAACGAGATGGTGGTCGGTCTGTTGGCGGTTTGACACCACTACTGCCCGGCTTATCGAGACGTTCACCGTTCAGACTTTCACGATCGCGCGCTTCCATTGACATGTGTTCGCCATTTGGACGTGGCGAGTGGGATTCCTGTGATGCAAGAAAAACAAGTTCATAACTTAACACTGATAATCAAGACTAAATAAGCATAGATGAAGATTTAAAAGAATAATGTGGAAGTTGTAAAGCGGTCGGAATGCGGGTGTAGGGAAAGGACTTGGGCTATTTATTTTGTTTAATTTACTAATATATTTCTTATATTGTGATATTGACAATGTTGTTCTTTTCATTTTTTTCTGGTCAACAAACTCAACTCACCATTTCATTTGCAACATCTACGACTAAATCTTGATCGCTTTTCTCTCCTTCATCCTCCTGCAAAAATTTTGAAAAAAAATAAAAAATATTATCAACGCACGCACTGTTTTTTTTTGTATTTTTTGTTTATGCATTTCTACTAAAGCAAATTCAAATCAAATACTAAATTAAATACTTTATACGAAAAACACAGTTAAGCTAAATCGATACAAGAAAAAAAGAAAGTGACCAAGCGAGAGAAGTGAGTAGCAGGAGAGAAAAAACTGCGGTAACAACTGCCGGCTAACGAAAATAAATATACCAAATATTTGATAAATAGAATGGCAGACAGCAGAGCAGCATTCTGGTATAGTGGTTTCGGAAGATATAAAAATAATAAGTTACTTTGGGGTAGTACTGGTTTTTGAAAATACTACTAACTAAAACCAACAAATAGGTACCACAATATAAAAAATAAGCCAGCATTTTTTTAAACACTACAACAGCCATACCAGCAAAGAAAAACGGACGAAAATTAAAAATAACAGAATACATAAAATGGCGCCAAAGCGTACTACAAAAAGCAAGAAATATGCAAACAGCAAAAATAACAAACGCCACTACTACTACTACTACTACTACTATTACAAACCAAATACACAGTATTGCTAGAAACTAAATTAGAGTTAAAACTATAGCTTAACTTTATTTAACTGCATTTAATATTGTTGGGGAAGAAACAAATAAACTCTACTAAAGGACAGACGTGCATAGGCACAGCGCCATCCTGCTGCTACTCTTGTATTAACTTTTTTACTTCTTTGCTTTTTTACTGCTTCTTTGTTTGTAACAAAATATTATGGTGAGTTGAGTTTTACAATTTTACTGCAAATAAATTTAGCAACAACTAATTTTCTTATGTGTGGCTTACATTAGTTATGCCTGAAGGCACATTCGTTTACAATTTACTTCAATATTTGCTTATTACATATATATTCTTTGGCAATAACAATGCATACATTGTAGCAAGTATGCCAATACAAAAGAACAATACAGTTTTGTAATCATTCATTTGTGATTGAACTGATACAAATATATAAATTAACCAAAGCCAAAGTGTATAAGCATTTCAGTAGCGCCTTTAATTGACGCTCACAATTGTTTAAATGTAAAAAAAAAAACAGTTTATAAACTTGTCTAGGCGAGCAGGACAGTGTGGTGGTGGTGTTTTTTGATGTTGTAGGTAGTAATACGATAGTGAAGTTTTGATTTTTGTAATACGTAGATATTAATAAACTTAGATTAATATTAGGTACATACAGAGGGCGATTAATATTGCTTCGTAATAGACAAATACATAATCATTTATGCACAATTCAAACAATTGCATTGCTAATTTCGCGCGTTCGCCTTGCCAGCTAAGCCTTTATGGCATAAACACTATAACTATCTATGTATGTACATATGTACTCACTTGTAGTTTTTCGTCTTTTCGACGCTTCGCATCATTTTCGATGTCCAATGGTGAACGTGTACGATATTTCTCGCGATCAGCTGGTGACACTGAATTGCGCTGCGGTTATGAAATAACGAAAATATGTGTATATTAAACAAGAGGGAATCTTACAAATAAATATATTATAAACATAGTACACTTACCAAACGTTCTTCAGCGCCAGCTGGTCCATCCAGTCCGGTTGGTTTAATGTCGGGACGATGATGATCCGTTGGTGCTTTCAGCAGGCCTTGTGGCGCATGTGGTAAACCCATGGAAGCGCCCAGAGCACCAAATGGGCCAGCTAATGGCGCTAAGCCAGCCATCGGTTGTGGCGGACCACCGGGCACTTGTTGTGCATGTATTTGCTGCTGCATGTGCGGAAGCAATGTCAACGGAGCATGCAAGTGAGAAAGATAGAAAGTGAAAGATGTTATTTTATTAGCTTATTTTAATTGGAGTATTCATTTATAATTGCTTTTACTAAGCTGCTTTAAAATACGTATATTTTGGGTTAAGCATAGAAAAAGTTTTAAATTAAAGAAATTCATTAAACAAGAGGTCAAAAAACACACATTCAAAAAGAGTTAACAAACAACGAACCAATGGTGATGGACGGCAGAGTATGACAGATTTAAGGTTAATTTTTTTTTTTGTTGCACGAAGTGAAATGACGGCGAGATAAACAAGCGGAGCGCGATGAGGGCAAAGAAATTTATGAAAATTTTAAATTCCTGTATTTTAAGTTTCTATGGAATAAATTAAACCCTCTTTTATGCAACACGAGAAATATAAAGGATACGTTTTAACTGAGGGTATTCAAACAATAAGAATTCATTCAATTAAAAATATTAAGAGGAAAAAATTAATTTATCAGAGAGGCTAATTTATAAAAAAAAACAATAATTTCAACGCGTTTTTGTTAACCCATCCAAATTCAAGTTATGTAAAAATTAATCTGATAATGTCTAAGTAAATCTAGTTTTCACAAAATCCACATATGTATTCAAAAAGCTAGAAGTGTGTTTCTATTATCCCCGAATTGCGCAATTTCGATTCTCAATTCCGATCTGAAATTTGAATTTGAAAGTTTGTGCGCACTGCAGCTTAAGGCTTCGTTTGATTCTCGGCTGATCCCTTAGCAAATTCAAAATTATAGCTAATCTGTGTTCTTTATGGTTTTTAACGAATATTTGATTTCATTATTTTGTTTTTGTTTAGAACAAGTTTTTTGCGTTGTTTATTAGCCGCAAACCTTTCTTCAGAATCATTCACAATAACGCTTATGCCGAATTTTCACTAGGCATTAAAATAATAAAAAATTATATAAAAAATGTCGTTCAAATATATTTCATTTGAAATTGAGTTCACAATGTCCTCAATTCGAGCCGAATTTCAGGTAACAGTTTTGTGTATGACCAAATTGAGATCCTACCACAATATCAGCCGAAACTGAGAATAATGCCCAAATTGCGCGATTTAGGGCCATGTTCATATCAAATTATTAGGTCAATGGCATTTTAAAATAATATATATTCTCCGATATCCTCTACACACATATTTTTGCACGTTTTGTAATAAGGGATTTCCACTGGACATTCAGTTGAAAAAAAAAAAAATGTTTCAGACATAGTGGGACACTCCAAATTGCACGTGTCATTACGTTAATAATATAGTAAGTGGCAAAAATATCTTGTCATTTCAATGCCAATTGGATATTCGATATAACATTTGTACAAAAAAAAAATCCTTCACTCAGTTAGGGCAGCGAAATTAAAAAAAAAAAAAAAAACGGTTGCAGCGTATGGTATCTTTTTTCCTCTTTATTGATTTGCGTATAACTAAAAGCAATTATAAACTTTAAAGAAAGTTAAAATATGACTTAACAAAGTGTAATCTAGTAAGCATTAAAAGATTTGATGTATGTATACATATGTATCTCCAAACATTCAGTATTCTGCATTTTTTCTTTAATTCAATTGCAAATATAATTTGTATAAAATATAGCGATTTGACAGCAGAATTTTTAACTAACAATTCCAAGAACCATAAAAATAATTTTGTAATTTCCACTAACGTTTAACTGAAAACGGATAAGTCCACACGGGTAGATGAATAGCAAAAGCGGAGAGCGCCAAGCACAAAAGCGTAATGCCATGCAAAGCAAATATAATTCAATACAAACAAAACATACAACTGAAGACGGGAAAATATTACCGAAAAACCGAGTACTTATAAAAAAGATCCGGAGCTAGAATAAAGATATAGGAAAGAGGAAATCGAAACAAAAGTACAAAAAAAAAAAGACAAATGCAAACACTTTCTGAATAGATGAAATTTAAGAAAAAAATATACACACTAAAAGATTTCGAGGTTCATGGTTACTTCCATCATTTCACTACATTCACAAGCAGCATTGAGGGCAGTACTTTTTTCCCAAACCGAGGGACTCAGTGGATAAGTAGGACTTCAGAAGATTCAAAGCTTTTCTTTATTAATTAGGGTAGAAACCGAAGACAAGAATAAATAGCTGATTCTACAACATCTCTTTTGATTGCGTCTTCATAGAATATGCCGAATCAAATTAAGAGAGATAATTGCTCAGAACAGACCAACATGAATCGAGCATATACATATATGTATGCTCTTATTATAAGAGCTAAACTAATGGTGTCTATAAGAAAACCTAAAACACTACGAAACACGCGAATCGGAAAAAAATTTGGAAAAAATAACTACTTCGAAAATTGTTGTTGTAAAGAAAGAAAAGCCACGAAATGTACCATGAGTCGAAAAAAGAGGTTTTTTTTTCTTAATTTACGTGTTAGACATAAGGCCAAAGTATGCAAGCGAACAAACACACATAAAAACAAGAAAATCGTAAGAGATGAAACATCCTTATCGCCAATTCAAACTGAATAAACTGCTCCCATAAATTCAAATGCAAAATAAAAACAGATTTGGAAAAGTTTTTTTTTTTTTTTTGTTGTGAAACCTAATTCTTAAGGAATTCACGATAAGGCTGATTAAAAACGAAAATAAGCAGAAAGACATAACCAATATGAGAATAATTTGAAAAGCAAGAAGCTTAAACGATTAACGGCGTGTGTGCTATCGTTATTAACTAACGATTAGGGCGAGTAACAAACGAACGAACGCGCACGGGCATGAATGCACACGACAGGACAAAATTTAAACGTTTCAGATTATATATTATTGTTTCATAAAATGCGGTAACAATGTCCATATGCATAATAGTTTTTTTTATGTTAATTGTTAACATGAAATTGTTAGGGGAAAAATAATAACATAATAAAAATTTTACGAAAGAAACGCCGAACAAGTAACTGAGCATTAGATTAATAAAACTAGTGGTGGAGAAATAGCAGTAATAAATGTATTTAGAAAGTGAAAAAGGAACTTACTAGAAGTTGTTGAATTCCCTGATGCTGATGCTGCGCGTTGCAACATCAAACAAATTGATGTGTATGAAGAATTTATATATTTTTTTAATAGTCAATTTTTGTTGCATTGGTTTTTTTTTTTTATTTTTTGAATGAAAGTGAGCATAAAATAAAATGAAAAAGAAATTAAGTATTAGAATATGTTTATTAAAAAAAGTGTAAACAAATAAGTAAGAAATTGGCAAACAATTCGCTTTGTAATGCATTGACGGAAAGTTTTAATAAGTCATTTCTAAATAATAAAGCGTAAATATCCCTGAATAAAAACTTTCTTAATGACTTGTCAATTAAATTTTTTCACAAAATTTGTTTGCGTACATATTTGAGTTAGCCCTTATCGCGTACTCTGTATATAATTAGTGGAATCACAAGACGTCTTTGCGTCAAAATGTCATAAGTCGTAAGTAAAAATCCCGTAAAAACATTATAAGTTATTTTACGTTACAACGCTTAAGACGTCTTGTGAATCCCCTAAATATACGATTTATGCATTTAAATTTTTAATTTATTTTTCAATTTATTTTCAAAAAAAAAGGTAAAATATGACGCATATATTCCATCTATAACATTCTTGGGCAATATGGGCACATTAGCACTCGATAAGGGTTAAAACAAGTCATAATTGTGTTGCTGCGCATCCAATGCATAAATGCCTCGTGAGCGCGTAAACCTTGTAAACTTACTTAATTTTGTATGAAAAACTGGTTTATTAACGAGGCTTACGCGGTTACCTGGCATTTAAGCGTTTGTATGAATACCCATAATGGATTACTTGTTTTTAGCAAATCGGTAATAGGCTAACAATAAAACGGAAGAAATTCAATAAAGTTCACCACAGGCAATTTCGCAAAACTAATCAAAAATCCGCTGTCAAACCAATTACACTTTTGATATTTTTATTCATCTTTTTCTCCAAATGCATACATACAACAAACAGAAAAGTAAGCTTAGTAACGGCCAATAAATACATAAAATATTACATGTTATGATGATAACCTAGAAATTAGACTTAAATGGAGGTTAGATTTTTTTCTTTTTTTAATAAGTCATATCAAAAAAGTATGAGAACTTTTTCTATAGAAGACTTATGCACTTTTTACACCTAGCCTTTATAGAAATCTTATGGGTCGATTACGAATAGCAATCGAACTTGATTTTAACTTTAGTTGCTATTCATAATATACATTTCTTTTTCAGTAGCGTTGCCCATCGGCAACCCATTTGAGGTGCCGGTGCAATCCATAATCGTCCCATTTATTCACAGGTTCGTTTTAGAAGCTCGAGGGGACGAATTTATTTTATAATTAAGATCAATGTTGAGAAATGCAGATATATGCTTAATAAAATCAAAAACTCCTTTGATCAATGACCTTTAGCTACTTTTCTGGTTAACTGTGAATCTCGCCATTGTATAACTTCCACGAATTCGAGGCGAAAATATAACTAACTTAATTTCAAAAGTATGTATTAAAGCTGAAACAAGCTGAAATAGTCGCACGAGGCAAGGTCCGGGCTACATGGGGAATATGTATCTAAACTGTCCAGGCGAGCTCTTTAAATTTTTGGCCGAGTGACTTAAGATGTGTGTTAAGCTTTTCATGAATTTGGTTTTCCAATGGGGAACAGCATTTTACATATTTTCTACTTCAACTTATCCAACAGATCCTCTTTAACAATTTAAAAAATGTAAGGTGATCGGAAAAGAATATATCATATCTTATCTTTGTTGTTGGTAGCATAGTAAGAAGACTGTTAACAATATTTTTTTTTTTTTGTAAGCTGGGGATTTACATTTTTTAGTGAATATACGACAATCTTGTCAACACAAATAGAAATTAAATTTTAGAACAACCGCAATTATAAAATTCACAAACATATGATTATTATGAAATAATCAAAAGCTTACTATATTTGCAACGAAAACCTTTCCTTGAACTCATTACATTTATATATTGATCGTTACGAGTTGCGTAGAGCGCATCCTTCAGCTCAGTTCAATTTGGGAAGGACATCTCCGCGCCGTTTCGAGACCAAGTGAGGTTTTAGACAATCCAATACATATGGATATAGAGCGTCGGTCTGAACTGTATGAGCTTTTGAACGATCTCGGCATAGTTAAGTGTAAAAAATATACGATTGCGAAGGACTAAGTGCAGAAGGACCTGTCTGCACTTGGGATGAACAAATAACGCAAATTTGCAAAGGAGAGGGGCAATTAGCGAAATTTTTTGGACTCGGCCCAAAACGACAAAGGTTGCAGTACCAAATAAGATTTGTATGTACATATGTTCATTTAACTAAAACTCGTGATTGTGGCCCATTTTAGTATTTATCTCTCCATTGAAACGGTTGAGCGGATTGGAATGAAATTCGGCACGTAGATAGCTTATTATCTGGATTAACATATAGAATACTTTTCATGGCAAAAGAACTGTGAGGTTTATGGAAAAGGGGGGCTTGACATTGACAGTATTTATTGTCCGACTTGATTGAAATACGGTACACGTTTTACAAATATAAAGAGAAATCAACCTACCAAAAATGGACGTGGAAGGTAGATGGTACCGAAACAGTTCGAAATTTGTTCTAATGCGCCGCAAAGCAAGCTGGTATTGGCGAGTGAAAATGAATACGAGACGATTCGCTCAAAAAGACCACAGCATAATACATAATTATTGTGGTATCACAAAGAACAATCTTACATTGTCTTACCTTACCTTTCCTGACCTAATATAATTATTGGCAGACAAATGCTAACTAGCGCGCTAGCGGTAGCGTAGGTAGGTCTCAAGTAAAAACTAGTGCATTATGAGTTGGTTATTTAAACCTCGAAACTATTCGATTATGGATTGTGAGTGCGGGGTAATGCCAGATATTTATAGACTCGGCTTTTATTGTTACAAAAGTGAGGCATAATACAATTCAGCTAAAAAACATGGAAACTATCAAAAAAAAAAAAAAAGAAACACTCTGGGTAATTAAAATATCTTGCTGTGATCCTCAAAATGTACGCATCTCTTTAACCTCTTGTGCGTTCTGTGCATTCACATCATGATTACAAAATAGTATTGTATTACAACAAAATAACTGAGACGTATGCGCTTTAATACGCTTAAGGTATTAATTGCAGTACCATCATTAAGAGCGAGTAATGTAGAATGATGATGAAGTGTAGAAACGAAAAGAAGAAAGGTGTAACACAATAAAACTTACCCCGATGATTAGATTTAATTCTTGCATTGTAACTTGTTTCGCGCGCTCCACGGCATTTAAGACCTGCTGTTGATGATCGGCTTGTAAAAATGGTAGCAGCTGATTTATCAAAGTATTCAAACGCTTGGCAATTTCCGTCTGTGGCGCAGGATGAGAAGTTGGACAAGTAAGCGATTGAACAAACAAACGATGTTATATGTAGTTGCAGGCGATACATTTTTGTGTAATGTTTTTTTTTTGTTTCATTTCATTGTTTACGTTGTTCGGGCGGAAAGCGAGCGTGCATAGAAAAAGGTAAAGAAAAAATATAAAAAAATGAGAACAAATTATAAGGCGAAAAAAAAGGGCAAAAACACATTAAATGACTTTTTATATGCTAGACTGTGTAAATATAGGCGTTTGTAGCAAACAATGTTTGTGTACATATATTTATGTAATTGTGGCTTAATTTCTTGCTGCACGAAAGCGCCGACAGGAGTGTGCGCGCCCTTCAGCACTCGTTTTTCCGCCTGCCTTGTTGCACTCGACGACCACACCGCTACGGCTTTGGTTCTTTACTTTACATTTGCCGACATTGTTTGCGAGCAGTGCGGAAGAGGCAGGCGCGCAAGCAGTGAAGCGGCGTGGCAGGAGGGATGTGTTTATTGAATGAGCTGGTGTATTTTATATGTGTTTGTTTGTATTTATTTGTGTAAGAGGAAATTACCTGTTTGTGCATTTCAACATTAAGGCCATATGACATCTCGTAGTACTGAAAGGTAAATTGAGGAAAAAAGTATTATTAAAAAAAAAACATGTTTATAAAAAATATATGTATATAGCATAAACAATTTTTCATGTAGTTTAGAAATTACCATAACATAATGGCGCTGCATTTCGGTTTTCTCATTGGCAAGCTTTTCGCACTCCAACTTTAATCTGCAAAGCAGGAAAAGAACAAATACAAAGGGAAATCAGTAAGCATGTTTAATATTCAATGTATTGGCAAGCAGCATGAGGCAGCAGAAAGCTTTTGACTTAATACAAAATAAGATGTTGATGAAAAGCGTAGGTATAAATCGCTGTAAAAGAAATGCAGGGCAGATGAGAGAAACGCTTGAGTTGAAGAAAAATAACAACATACAGAGCATAGATTAATTAAGGCAATTAATCACTATCAAAGTAAGTAGTATAATTAAAGCGCGGAGTCATACTTTTCGAACAGGCAGTACGCAAAAAAAATAAAATAAATAAAAAAAAAAACATCGTACAAACGTCAAGGCACAAAAAACATTCACCAAGGCAAAGGCAATTCATGCGCAAGGAGAAGCCAGTACGAAAGCATAGGGGCGTAAGGAAGAAATACAAATAACAAGGCACAATTCCAGTGAAAAAGGGGAAAGGCAAATAAATATGCGTGTATGTATGTATGTATGTGCGGACAAGGACTTAATAGCTTTGTGCGCCCACAAAACCATGGTTAATAAAAAAGCGACATGGAAAGGGGAAAAGGAAACCCGAGGCGATTATTATTCGCACAGTGTCACTGTTACTTTGAAAGTAACCGTGTTTTAAAATAGTATTCAATTCATGGTAGGGTTTAAAAAAATTTTCCCATTTTTTTTGTGTAACACAAACTGTTTCACCATGTAGCAGTAAAATTTTGTAAAAGTAAGCGCGTTTTTATTAGGCAGTATCTACACACACGCGCCACGGTGACTTTTACCTTAGATCCACGGTAAAATTACATGAATTATGTGTTGCCGGAGAAAGAGAGACAGAACTTCTTTCTGCATAGGCGGCCTTCGGATTATAACCCTTACCACTCAGAATTCTCCTTTCTGTGTTGCCCGGAGAAGTGGGACAGAACTTCTTTCGGCATAATTTTTACCGTAAGCCGCGATCGATTATGGGAAGGAGGAAGTTCGGCCTGCTACTTAGCGCTCATCATTCTCTTGGCCAATGAGGTATGGGGAATATAACTTTGGGTTGGGTCGTGGTCAATGTCTGCTGGCTGAGGTCGGCGATCTTGATGCTTACACAAAATGATGCACAAATGCTGGATGTGTTAAGTGGGAAAAATATTGCTGCAGAGGTCGGCATTGTAAAATCGGTAGCTGTATGTCTTACCGCCAGTACCTACTCACAAAAAAAATTTAAAAATTCAGTGCCCTACATACATACATGCCAAGAAAAGTCTAAATCACTGTGCAGCAGTGCTCTACCAATAATGGCAATAAAGTGTTTTAAGTATTCTCTCCTTTATGGTTTGAGTAGCCACATAGGTATGTATACTTCCCGGAACGTACATAGCGATCCCTTTAGTTCATGTTAAATTCTATGCATACTTTTTTTGCTCTGTTAGCCTTGTAGTACACACTTTGTGCCTCATTTCCTCTACGTAATTCCCTGATGATTTTGTGCAAAACGCACGCATCGTGAAAGGCACACACGCATACTAGTACTCGGTGGTATCAGAAATAATTACAATAATAATAAAGATCGACAGTGTAGCGCAGCAGCAGTCCAAGAGAAGAGCAGCTAGCTAAGCCTCACGTTCGGTTGGCCCGAGAAAAGATCAAATCAAGTAGGGTAGATTGTTATCCTACACAAATATGTATCTACTTCGTGGTATGTACTGTGTATGTGTGCACATCCAAGCATACGCACGCACACATCCCATTCCAGACCATAGCAAGCAATCGAGAACTCATGAGCAGCATCCAACCGCTTGTCAGTCACTTGGCCAACCATTTCATAGGTATGTACATATGTATGTTTACGGCCATCCAAATATTTGTCCGTCCATTTGTTGAATTTAACAACAAGAGCAAAAAACATAGTGTGAACACCGCCAACAGAACAGAAAAAAACGGTGAGCAGAACACGAGGGGAACCGGTTTTCGGATGCTGACTGTGCTACTGTCTATCAGCCTGGTCTGATCTACCTCGTACTTGTCTGTTCGTCTGCCTGCTCGCTTGCTTGCTTGCCTACCTTCCTGCCCGGTGCTGGTGCTAGTGATGGTGCTGCTGATGCTGCCTCCTCTTAGCTAGTCGTTTTGTTTGCCTTTATTTCGCGTGAAACGGCCGCCGAGCACAAAAACCAAAACATAAAAAGAAAATAAACACACAATACAAATATTCACATTCATTCATACATACGTATAGCATTTGTGCATACGTACAGTCAAGTGAAAAGAAATTGGGACACGAATTCTTAGCCACTTGATACTTCGCTGGAATTTGCTACATACTCAAAATTTTTCTAAAAATTCTTAACAAGTTTATTGTTGTGGTAAACTTTAGTTAATTTTTTCATATTTTTTAAAAAGTTTGCAAGCACTTGTAAACTCAAACAGCTATATTTTACAACACTTTTTTTAAAATAACAAACATTAAACAAACAAAAGGAGAGTAGTCAATAATGGTCAATATGTCGTGTACCTATTATTTTTCACATGACTGTACATACATATGTACGTAGGTACATTTTGTGTACACACAACAAACTGCTAAAAGCTGAAGCAACAAAAAAAAAACAATGACACGAGTGTCGAATATAGAGTGAAGTGTAGTATAGAAAGTTGTTGTTGTTTTATCGTTGCTGCTGGGTTATTTTGAAGGCGCAGTGTGTGCATGAGCGTGAAGCAAACGTTTTTCGGTGCTTACTATTGCGATTGAGAAGTAAATTGAAGAGGAGTGAAGTTTAGCGGGGGACGTCGTTGTGATGCATAGTGAAGCAAATAGGCAAACATTTTAATAAAAATAATAAAATTATATTAAATTGGAACAGAAAATGTTGCCGAATTTAAACGATTTAAAAATTTATATTAGATTAAAAATTCTTAAAAAAAAAATAAATAAATAAAAATAAAAAAATTACTAGAAATATGTATATGAATTTTTATTAAAAAAAAAATGCAAAAGCAAAAACACCTTCAAGTTACATGTAATGAAAAAACAAAAAAACTTCCTTCAATCACCGCTGTTACAAACAACCGTTATGTGAACAAAATTAATATACCCTTGTGCACAAGTGCGCTCGGGTATAAAAAAAAAAAAATTCCGACGAACTGATAACCTCCTCCTTTTTTGGAAGTCGGTTAAAAAGTAGTTTTCCGTAGAGCATATTTAAGTTTTAATTTGATTTTACGAGATTTGTAAAATGAAATGTGTAAAAAATAAATGAAATAAAAAATATGTATAAAACCTTGTTTGCATCCAGGGTCGTAATCCATTGCATTGTCGAAATTACTAAGGAAGAAAATGCGTGACTGTCAGCAAAAATAAAAATTAACAAAAATCAACGAGATAATTTACTAACTTCGATTTACACTTTATTATACAAAAATTTAATGGTCTTCAAAACTGTTTACCCGAATTTCGTATAAAGTTTCTGATTAAAAAGTGTAACATTTTGTTGAATATTTGCAGAATTTTTAAAACTTTTGCACAAAGTCTGAAACTTTGATTCAGATGTTGTTAGAAAATGAACTATACTTTTATAAATTCAATAAGCATTAAACAAATGAATAAAAAATAGTCAAGCTTGGAAAAAGATCGCGACTCTATTAATTAGTCCGACACAACAACAACACCAACAGAGAAACAAGTTGGGAGTGTCTGCACTCCAACGGCATTTTCAAAATATTAAAAAAGCGCTGCGCTGCCACAAAATTGCCATTAAATCAGATAATTGCCAAAAGGAAGTAAACCCTGAAAAAATTGCACTCATTTACTTAACGGATTTTAGCTATGGTTATATGACGTTTGCTTCATATCAACTTAAGCGCTTACCAATTTTTCAACAAGTTAGGCCTTACGAACCCACTGTGCGTTGTCACTCTGCAAGAACATGTGTAAATATCTACATAGTACATATGTACATACAAATATACGTAGGCGGCATGTGTGCACTTATCTAAAGCTGCGGCGCTGTTTCATAATTTTTTCTTTTGACAAAAAAAAAATGCTCTAAGAACAACAATAAAGTCTCTCTGCTCTGCTTAACGTACGTAAGCTTGAAGAGGAAGTGTTAAGCATGGAAAAGAAGGCTCTTAGCATACGGCGACAAAAGGATCCTTACCACCACCTTTTTACATGCATAGATGCTTTTGCAATTCGAATATCTGGCATTTGAATATCTTTTTGCTTCCAAATATGAAATGAGCAAATTTAAATACATTTTTAAAGTTAAATACAAATATGTAACTCTAAGCAATCATTGGTGGTATATTTGCCATAAGGAAATAAAAAAAACCCTAATGTAGTAAGTGCACAACAATAACTGCTTAAGAAAAGTCACTAACTTGGTAAGTACTTAACAATAAACAACAACAACACCAACATGAAGTCAACCACTAGCATGGCACACAAAGTATAAACACTTGTAACACTTGAATTCATAGCACAAAAGTTTTAGGTCATAAAGAAGGCACGATGTTATGTTATCTTTGGATTTGGTTGACTTTCGTTTGGCGACAAAGTTAATTTAAATGTTATGAAAATTTTTACTTTTTTTTGGTTTTAATCAAACGAGAATATAAGTGGAAATGTGACAAACTTCATAAATACTTTCTTCCGTTAATAGGTGAACTGAAATTAATATTTTTCAATGAACTGCCAAAATCTGCAAAACAAAATATTTCAATTTGACATTCTAAAACGTGGTACGAATAAAAAAATCACATCAGCTTTTCCAATAACACCACCTAGAAAGCCTTAATAGGCATGAGAGATATATGTACTTGATACGGATCACATGGCGCCGGGCTATAATTAGGAAAGTTCCATATCATAAATGAAGAAAAAAGATAACCTAAAGGTATGGCACCCGCTCGCCATATCGACACCTACAAACCATAGCATGCTAAGTCATTAGAGTTTTAGGTAGACTTAGCATAGTAAGATTTAGAGGCGTCGTATGACCTTTAATAAATACACTGCTAATTCAAAAATGATATTCTGATAAGAGCTCGAGTGTACTGCAAACTGCCTAATGAGTCCACAAATGTTCTAAGAAACAGGAAAGCGATGGATATGCTAGCCACAAATAGTCAGCTGCATAAATGTATATTGCGCTCCAGGTCATAAGGGCATCGAAGAAAATAAATGGTGAATGTGATTGTCAAAAGGCATCACATTGAGAGCTTTGAGGTTATAGTTATAAGGACAAAAGTTGGCAGGTTGTTATTGTTGTTGTTGCGGTGTTACAAAAGAGTGTTTGAGGAATGATGCTGGAGTGAAATTCCTTGCCAAAAAGTTTAAATTTTCAACACCGGTATATGTATATATATGTATGTACACGCTGATTTTTACTGGCGCTAACAGGCAAAGATTGCAGAGCGATAACTGGTTTACAGATCGGCCACTTGCGACGCACACATTCATGATAGCAATCACTGCTAGCGACGAATGAAAAAAATGCATGTACTCTACTGAATTAACTGGGAACAAGTGGAACATACTACCCTCCAATGTCCACTGTAAGTCTACAAGCGCTGGGTCTGTTTTGCCTGCTCAAATTTTATGTTGCTGATTCCGACACCCAAATTCATAAGAAATAAAGTCGCTTTAACCGCTTTGTAAAGTTCTTTAAATCTAGTTTATTAACCGACTTCAAAAAAGGATAACGTTATCAATTCGTCCGAGTAATTTATTCATTTATTTATTTATTTTTTTATGTATGTTACCGCATAACTTTGGACTACGTTAAGCGATTGCAATAATACCTCACAGGTGGTCCCATACTAATTTCGTTTAGTTCCAATCATTGGATCATGAAGAAATTAACGGTAATCAAAAAATTGTATAGGCGAATTGAAGACCGTTTTGTTTTTTGCTTAAAAATTACTTCTTTTTTATGAATAAGGTCATTTGTTTTTTTTTTTTATGGGTTCTGGTTTAGAAAATTCTGCAAAATTTTCAGTTTCAGTTTTATTCAGTTGCAAAATTTTGGACACCTTTTTGTGAAAAGTTTGGTTTATTCAATGATATTCGGTTCTTTCTAAATTTTTAAAATTTAAATAAATAAATAATTAAATAAAAAAATAAAAATTAAATGCTAAACAAATATAAATAAAAAATGTAAGCCACACAAACGCTTTTGAAACACATTCGGTAAAGATTTGGAGGAAACGCGAAAAAGTTTGGAGAAACTAAGACTAACAAAAAGCAGCTAATTGGAAAAATAAGGGTATATTCGCAAGAGGTGGACTTAAAACACCTAAATATACACTTGTTTTCCTTGTGCGATTTTTTGAACTTAATAAAAGCTTGATTTTGAAACATAGATTGTTTTTCCACAAATTTATTTTTATAACACAAAAATAAATTTCAAAGCCTGGTCAATATTTTTGAAGCAGTAAAAGCCGGTAAGTTTTCCTTTTTTATTTCTTAGGCAATAATAATAAATGAAAAGATTTCACACTTTTCGAAGTTTTTTTTTTAAAGACTTTTCAGTATTGTTTCGAGTCTAAGGTTATTTTTTTTATTTTTTTGATCTTTCGGAACTTTTGGTTTTTTTCTTTCCCGCAATTGTTGTTATTGCAGATTTTCGGGAACCAGGCCCAAAACTAATTTCGTAACTTAAACTTGTTTCAATGACAGCTTAAAAAATAAAGCAAAAAATTTCATTGGTCGGTCCGTTGATTGTTGTTTTTTTTTTTTTAATTAAAAGTCGTAACCCTAATGGAAATACGTACATACATATGTATGTGCATTATAGCGTTAATCTAAAAGTATTAGCCAAGTGTAGATTATAATTAATTAGAAACGTACAAGTAATAAAACAAAATTTTTGAGATAAGATTTAGGCCAATATTTAGAAGCATGCGTAGTCATTGTCAATGTTTTTTTTTTTTTAAATACATAGGTTTTTACATACATATGTACATACATATTATGTACATGCAAATATGTGGCGTCAGGTATAGAAATGAAAAAGTTACTCTTTATAGTTAAAACTGTGTAAACCGACCTTAGCTAAAGCACTTAAAGTTAAACATTTAAGCATTTTTCCAAAGTCTGTTGATGCACTCCTCAGTAGTAGTCGATAAAAATGTATTTTGTTGCAAAATAATATTTGGGGGACGGTTGCTGAAGAGGCAGTATGTGGGCAGATATACATATATCTTAGACATCATGACTTATAAAGTTCTTGCTGTTGTAGCAGCATTAAAATCGTCTAATGCTTTAAGTGTTTTGAAGTAATGTTGTTGTTGTTGTAGCAGCATACAAGTTCCCCAAAGAGTTTTTGGGGAGTATTGCTGGAGTGACAGTCCTTGGCCAAATATAAATCTGGGTCGTTCCGGTTACGTAGACCCCCCCCGACTGTCGTGGGAACGTTTTGAAGTAATGTCCTTTGGCGCGCTTTCTATTTGCGTCAATTTGTAAACGGAGAACAGGGCCAAAAGGAATCACAATTTACCAAGAATAAAACTTTTATAAACAAACAAGCCTTTACACACACACACTAGATATTAGCAACCAATTAGAATTCAGCGTTGGACTACGATTAGATAAAGAACATTTCTTTTTGTCGATATTGAGAACTAAGTTCCCTTTTTGTAGAGAATACTATAATTCTCAACAGTTTCTCTAATCGTCTTCTAGCCTTCTACCGAATTCTAATCGTTCAACCAAAATGTTTGTTGTGACTAGGTATAACACGCAGCGTATTGTTAAATTATTTTATTGATGCACTAATGTTAAAATCCTTTCTTCGTCAGCAGTAAACAACAAAGTAAGCAAATACATGTCAAATATCAAAGGAACAATATCAACATATTTTAGTACAACAGACATATTTTAGACACGTGTACATACAAGCAAACTAAATTGATAAGTTAAGTTAAGTTTACGTCGTTTCTCGTGGGCGTGTTGTATTCGTTTGGGTGGTAAATAACCACAATAATTTCTCTGTAAGCTCAGTAAAAACTATTAAATGTACATGCATACATGCGTACATATACATACATACATATGTACATACCTAGTACGTCACGCAAAAAACTAAACGCAAACATCAGGGAAATAATTTTCAAGTAAATATTGGCAAGCGAAAAAGGCTTATTAGCAGTAACACGGTAGAAAGCGTGCTTGAGAAGTCTGATTTGTAAAACGTATAGAATATATCAATGGGGCGATCTTACATCTATTAGAAACGCTATCATTTTAATTTAAAGTTAATCTGCTTTCAATGCTGCTTACAAATATATCTGCAAAACATATTACAATACTTACGTATGATATTGTGCTTGCAAAAAGTTGAATTCCTCCTTGATACGTTCAAGTGTGTCAACGATTGTAAACTTCAATGGGCCTTGAGGTGGTGGCCCCTATTTGTTTTTTGAATTTCCATTGATAATTCACGATTACGTCGTATATAGTTTTATTTACCATTGCGTGTATTGTTTTTTGTGCATGAAAAAGAAAATATTTGGAAAGCATTAGATGGATACGAAGTAACTAAAACAGAATAAATTGTGCAGCAATATATTTGTGTACACTTACCCCCGCAGAGGGATGACGCACCGGTGCAGGATACATTTTGTGCTCTAAACAACACAACTGCTCTGGTTGCTGCTACTGTTGCCGCGTCTGTTATGGTGAAAAGTCGATCCTATTGCAGAGTTGTCGGTTTGCTGTTATACTTCTTATGATTTCGTACCGTTCAAATGCAGGCTGGTAATGTTTGGAACAGCTCCTTGGTTATTCAGCCGAAAAGACCACTCAATGCTTGGCTTTTACACGTCCCACTTGGTTTATATATTATTTTCAACGTTATTGTCTATGTTGGCACAATTCGCTTGCCGTACAAATTGTATTGTGGAAGTGTCTGGTTCACTTCGCACAAAATTCAACCAATTCTTACTGCTGTCGTTTATTTCGCTACTGCCATCCAGATCTCCTGCGAAAACAGATGTAATCGCCCCCACAAGCGTAGTAGCTTTTGCATTTAAATCTTCCTGCAGGTTGGACTTAATTGGCTGTTTTGTGCTTTCTAGCCCTATGGCTGCCTGCGCCTCCCGACTTTTGCTCGTCGTGTCTTGCACACTTTCTTGCACTATAGACTACTTGCGCTTCCTTACTCGAAAAAAAAAAAAACGATTTGCTCACTTTTTAGAAGTCTTTTCCACTATATTTAGCTACAAATATGTACAAAAATTTATATAATTTTGTTGCATTACAATCTTATGTACCGTTTGCGATAGTTTTTATTAATTTTTATAGACATTTTTATATTTTATTGAATTTTTATTATTTTGCACAACTTTTTCTACTTTTGCTCGCTCGCTCGTTGGTTTTTTCCGTATTTCCTTTTACATGTCTTTTCGATACGTAGAATTGTGCACACAAAGCTACACACACGTAACCACTACACAGCGCAGCCACAGCCAGTCAAGGCGCCCGCGACGGTGTTATGCGTGTGGTGGCAACTGACGAGTAGCGAGAAGATTGTCGGTAGGTAACGAGTGGTAGCGCCACCACAAGCAAACACACATACACCCGCACGCAACCATCAACCACAGTCGGAAACGTAAACCGCACATACACCAAGCAACCGAACAAAAAAAAAATGCTTAAACACCGCAATAGGGTTGCATAGGCATGTAGGATTTCGACTTGCGAGCCCTAAGTACGAAGCAAAATCTTAGTACGTAAACTACACATTTTTTTCAAAAATGTTTAATTATGATTTCGAGTAGGACTAATCAATAGATGGCGACTGCTATAAAATGTGAAACTTTAAAATAAAATGAAACACTCCTCTCCCTAACTTGACATCCGCACTTCTACGAAACCCTTCAAAATAAGAAAATACTATATTCAGTGCAAATGTAGGGTTCTAACACGAATCAGGCTAATACGGTCGGAAAATTAATATGACACTGCACTACGTTTTATGCAATTTTGTTTTAAATAAAAGCACAATGTATTAGAGATGCCCAGATAAGTTCACGAGCTCATGAAATAAACAAAACAGAAAAGGCCCAAATATTGTGGCTGGAACAATAAATCAAGGGGGGAGGTAAAGACCAAAGAATTCAATGACCTGCCTCTTTTTTTTTCGTACCACCGGGCTCGTCTACCAAGCCCTCCAAAATAGCTAAAATACCGCAAATTTCGACCAGTTGCATCCGGCCCACGAACACGCTGAAGATCAGGACCCTCAATCAACAGAATTCTCTTTCCTCTTACTGCAGTACTATGTACTAATTTTACCCGTTTTCACAATACTTTCCTTGAGGCTTGTAGGGGCCGGAGGAAAAAAGGAATGGGTCATTGAATCTGGTTTTTCACTTTAAAGTGCGATAATTGGGAAATTACACGCCCCTTCCATTTTTAGTGCCCGCCTCAAAATAATTCACAATATTGGGAAGCCATTTCAATCAAATTCCATATCCCCATAACCTATTTCAAATCATATATGTACATATGTATACTTATTTAAATTATTTACAAAGTACGATTTAAGATTTTACGCACGCCCTAATATAATGCAACGCTGTCAGACCACCAAACACACCACTAAAAACAAAACCCCAACGTACAAAACCGACGAAACCAAAACGTAACCGACCCGACCGACCAACAAGCAACCGACCGAGCCCGACCACAATCATGAATCCAGAAAAAAAGAGATAAACAAAAGCAATTAAAAAATACCATTTTCAACCAAACTAGAAATCTTTAAAATTATTTTACATTAAATGCAATATTATTCACATGTTCTTTAACTTTCACTTAATTTTGAGTTGCATTTAAATAATTTAACAATCCTTTTTTGCGAAAATTATGTGTAAATTCTTTCAATTGTCAAAAAATCCGTGCACTTTTTTCTCCTTTCTTCCATGCTTTTCCATCTACTCGCTGCTCTTCTGTCACTGATGCCATGAAGTTTGTACGCATTCGTCGAGCCCTCATGCATACACACACACAAAGGCAGCGCGCGAAACACCGAGTGGTCGATCCAACGCACGTACCTACCGAGTAGCATGAACTCTCACTCGTAACTCGCTAGGGCATGGCAGACAAGTAGTATTGCCAAAATTTGGCAAAATGTCAGCGAAAGTGATTTTTTCGACGAACGAGCAAAAGCGAAAACGACCCATTATTCAATAATGCCAATTTACAATTCTTAATTTTTATTTAAAAATTCGTAATTCAATTTATTTTTAATATATGATACCTCTTTCAGTCAGTTTAGCTGCAACTGGAATTTAACACTTTTATTTTTTTTTGTTGGCAACTCTAGAAAGGCGGCACTAATGGCGTTTCGCTTTTGTAAGCGCTACTTTTTGCAACTGCAGTCTTTTGCATACAAAGTTTTTTTTCGTCGCACAATATGTTTTAGGTTCAATTTCTTGACTTATTTTATATTTGTACGGAAGCAAATTGATTTGCACTTCTATCGTACATATTTTTCATGCGCATTTAGTTTTATTGTTTTCTAATTGCAAATGTCTGGCCTGTAATCGTCCGACACGCAACCACCCAGTCACAAAATTAAACACTTGTTATTTCGGCAGGACATCGCCATATTTGTCAAAAGCCACTACACTATGTTCGGAATATGTCATAGAATATTAATATGTATTATTTATGATTATATCTTTTATATAAATCACAAATAAAAATCATTTTAATTACACGAGGTACTCGATGAACTTACTGCGGAATGGAAATTCTCTGAAAATGCTTACTCGCTACAGTCGACAATCGCCAATTTTTCGTTTGTACTTTGTGCTTTGCTCTACTGTGTATTCGCTCGTTCAGGGCAATTAAAAACGGAAACGGCACAATTGCATCTATTCAATGCATTTAATTACACGAGAAAAGGAGAAAACGATACTTAATGCTTACCAAACGTTATTTATCTCTTTCTTATGACAGGTATGCTGTTTTGTTTATTCCCCTTCGTAGAACTTTAATCCTGCACTCACTCAAAAAAGGAAACAAAAACGTAAATAATAGGAGCGTTCCTTATCTCCCAGAAATAGTCAGAAAAAGTCCGAAGTAGTCAGATTTAGTCCAAAAAGCGTTCCTTAACTCGGAAATGACAGCAAAAATGAGAGAGCAACAGTCAGTGAGAGTGACTCTCATCAGTCCGAAGTAGTCAGATTTAGTCAGAAGAATTTTTTCTGGCAAAATCCTGAAAAGTGTCAAACTCAACTGAATTTAAATTAACGGAAATTAATGAATACGCTAAAAGTGAGAATAATCTAAAAAGTAAAAGAAATGAATTGAAATTGAAAGGAGGCAAAAAATAATTGATATAGCAAGTGTTTATTGTGCTTGTGCTTGTGTGAATGTGTTTTGTACATACATTTCTGTTCTTATTTGACGTTAGTTTTGTTGTTGCCATTCTTTGGACTAAAAATTTGGTTTTTTGCGTTCCTTTACTTTTCCTGTTATTCTCTTTTAGTGAGCGCATTTTGCTTACGCTCTGGCATTTTGACACTTTTCAGATTTTAGTCCAAAAAGATAAGGAATGAACCTAATATGTACATGAAACGAAGATTTTTCAAGCTTCAGCCAATCTTGAGTTCCCAAACAAATTACATAAATATGCAGTTCAATATTTTTTTCGTTAAATTGGTTTAGTAGCTTTGACTCTAAACTGAATTTATTCAAATATTTTATCCCATTTTAAGGTACTTAACAATCGCGGAAATGGTAGCATTTTTTGGTAATACAATTTTCCGTTTACAAAACCATAGGTAACGTGCAGAATAGACCTGTGATAGGCTTATAGGTCTATTCTGCGCTGGTAATAAAAGTTTTGTTACCGGTAAATAAAGTTCCACCCAAATTTTAAACCTTTTTCGAATTATGTGTACTCTTGTAACCGGTACATTTTTTTACCATCTCATAGGCTGGTAACAATGTACTGCCCCGTGAAATATGCAATGCCAAATTTCAACAATTTTTCATAGCTGAATTTTTTAAATGCATTACCAACGTAACTAGATTCGCGGTGACAAGAACTGAATGTGCAGAATAGGCCTGTAATTCTGCGTTGGTAACAAACATTTTGAAACTGCAAATAAAGTTCCCGCCACTTTTGTAACCGGTAAATTGTGTTACCATTTCACAAGCTGTACCGTGAAAAGTGCAATACAAGAATTTCCCGAAATCCTCATAGCTGAATATTTTAACTGCGTTACTAACGTTCCTAGAATCACGGCGACAAGAAGTGGTAAAACCTTTTGGTAACGAAATTTTCCGGTTCAAAATCAACGGTAACGTGCAAAATAGGCCTGTTAATAAAGCCTGTCCAATCTGTTATAGAAAGTTTAGGACACGTATTTCAATGTAAGATTTTATATTTTAGTTGTACTTTGACCTTAGCTAAATACATAGACTCTCGATGTGGTTTAGTTACTTGTTGATAAACTATACAAAACATTTTTTCTAAAACTATCTAGTTTTTGCAAGTAGCTCAAAACCCGTTCAGAGTAGTAATTACATTCCTTTGCCTGGACAGCATGTTGTAGCCGTTTATGCCGCTTAAAAGGCTCTAAGCGTAAGCTTGCGCGTTGATATGCGAATATGCCGCACAGGAAGTTCCAAAGAGTTATCTGTGGCCATAGAATGTTTGTAAAGTACAAAACTGCCGTGGAAATCTATTAGGAATAATCAACATTTAGTTACGTATGTATTTAAAAGTTTAATCAACGTACCTGCCACATCAGAAAGTCACTAATACGTGTTTCGCCCGATGTTCGGAAAAGCAAGTCTGGAGGTGAAGAGTTTCTCGTATATAAACATTCTTCAATCAGACGTTCACTAATGTCTTCCGGTTTCAAATCTTCGCCATGTTTGAGAATTGTTTCCACCGCCTGAGTTATTTCATCGCGTGAAGTATATGAGAAAGCAATGTTTAGGAAAAGTTTATCATTGCGTTCTGTTAGAACCATTGCTTTGGAAATTAATATTTGCAAATCTTTCGGTAGTAATCCTATATTGCCAATTACTCGGATACATACTCCATGTTCATTCAAGTTTTGCTCCTCCAATAATATTTTCTGGAATTTTTCACGTGCCAAATCCAACAAACCATTCACCTCCTCCTCGGATCGTTTGTAATTTTCTATGCTGAAAGCAAATGTTGTCACCTCCTTTATACCCATATCCAAGCACCAACGCAGGCAATTAGCCAACTTTTCAAAACCATGCGAATGTCCGTCGATCTTGGGCAGACATTGCGATTTTGCATAGCGCCGATTGCCATCCATAACAAAAGCGACATGTCGTGGAATATTGCCACCGGCACGCACTATATTCATGGCCAGTGTCTCATACCACTTGTATTGGTAGTCTGATACCCAAGACATAGTTCCGGTATAACTATTGTGTGTAAAAATTGCAATTTAAATAAAATTCATATTCCACCAAGTCCCAACAAGAAAAGTTACTGATAAATCTTGTGACACCAGCTGAGGTACTGATGATGGATGACGAAGAAATGTCATCGTCCCGTTTATAATTTTCTAGAGTGGTGAGTTTATATACTATTTTTTAATCAGATATGTTACTTCGAGTATTAAGAAATAAATTTTTATATTTTTTCCAATAATAATACGTGTTTTTATATACATATTTTCTTATTATTTAAGAAATATGTTAAGATGCAATTTGATAAATAATTCTAATAACACAAACTTTTCTCCATTGAAACGTGAACGTAGTCATTTGTCGGTATTTTTGGAACATTTAGGAAATTAATTAACAGCTTAAAGTTACACAGATTTGTAAATTTATTCGTTGCAAAATAGCTATATTTTAATTTTAGAAAAAATAATTTCATGAGCATCTTTTTTTTAGAACTTTCATTCAGTATCCATCTCTTTCCCACTTATTGAAAAATCGCTGACAAGCATTCCAACAAACTCACCACTCGACCAGGGAAACGAACGAGGCACGAATCACCGTGAATAAATAGACGACAAGAATATGAGGCGACGAAGATTGTAGCAGCAGAAGAAGAAAATTTTCATTCGCTCGAAAGCAATTGATTGAGGAAATATTTTCAATTTAACTAAAAAATAAGTAGCCTTATAAAAGTGAATCAATGTCGAATTTAATTGAGTAAATGTTGGAAAATGGAAAGTAATAATCAATTGGTGGCGGAGAGAATTTTAACGCCTGGTAAGTTGTGTGAAAATTAAGTGGAAAAATGGCAGATCACAAAATGACCGACGGTGTTGAAGAACAGTGGAACAAGGAAGCGACGGTCATCCGTTATGGAAAAGTGAAATTAATTATATTGTTTCAAATTTATAATATCTTTAAAAATAATATAAAGCAGTTAAAACTAAAATTCACTTATTTTATAATTGCAGAGTTATATTTTCTCATATCGAAGTTTCTGGCTTCGGGTCCGCTGCGGGAGACGGCTGAGGTGAGTGTTCCTGCTGCAATTGTAAACAAATTCTACCCAAAATATTGCCAAAAATTTATAAACATAAGCTTAAACATAATTTATAATATTCTGCAGGTACTTGTGCGTGAATTGGAGCAAAAAAGGGTATGTATAAATATATTCCTAATAATAAATTGGTGCAAAAAGTTCATCAGATCAGTCAGCATAATCAAATAGTAGTTTGTCAACGAACTTACGTATTTCAATGTTTTCTCACTACGCACATGTTGCAGCTGGAAGCGTCATTGCTGTTTATTCCGTGAGATGCGTCCACCTTTTCCAATGTCTAAAACTATACTAAAGTCAGAAATTGTAAAAAGCTGTCGAAGAAGTGTATATTGCCGCACCGGCGATTTGCGCTACTTTGACCTAGTGGGTTCCTTCAACCGTCTTGATTGTTGTGGATATCGAGCCATGTACAATGTTTCGGAGGAGAACTTCCACAGGAAGAGATATGTGGTGGAAAACGACTTCCTAGGAACTCAGCATTAGGGTGGTAGTTTCATAACTTCGAGTTTTACTTGAAGCTTACAAAGAAAATGATCATGAGCTCTCGCGGGAGTAGGAAATAATTTTAACATTGTAAATAGCGACGAATATTATTGTTTACGCATTTTGTTTTGACCTATTCTTTGGCATTTCTTATTTGCCACCTTGTTTGGGGTGCAATGACAAGCGACATGCAAAAAAAAATCGGAAAAAGGAAGTTAGGGAAAGAAGAGATTAGACCTGTTTTAAATTGAATTTTTTGAGAAACTACGGGTTTGCATTCTATGTTTCGAAGTTTATAAATAAAATTAGCTAACTAAAAAATTATTTTTATTTAATTTTTTTTTTTAGGTTTTGCCACGGCGCACTGATTGGCTGGGCTATGAACATGAGCAAACCTTCGCGGAATTGGTGAGTGTATTTTCTTGTGTTTACATAAAAACTAAGCATTTCAAAGGGGCACAGTGGGCCTTGGATGAATTAAAAAAAAAAAATTAAATAAAATTAATTTCTCGAAGAAATACGTTAATTGTTGTTCTTTTGTGAATGTTTTTAACATGTTTTTTTATTACATTTTCAAACATTATTTTAAAACATAAAAAAAGAGTTAAGTTTTTACTACCGTCTCGTCCCACTGTGCCACTGTGTAGTGCATGAAAACCACACTTGTTTTCCAGAAATTGACTTCCTCTGCTTAATATTACAATCACATTTAAAATTTGTTGCATAGTGTTTGCTGTAATCAAGTAATTTATTATACATTTTTATAAGAATACATTTGTTCTAACTCGTCGCACGAGGCGCCGCCATGTTGCTTTCCACGGCAGCGAGGGTTGATGCAAGTTATTGATTAACTAAAATGCAACCAGCCCTTTTCCTTAATTAGTGAAATTTAAATTTATTAAATTCGTTTTTTAAGACTATTATTTTGCACAATTAACAGCAATTAAAAAATTAAAAGCGTTAATTACCAGAAAAAATGCAATTTTTTTTTTTACTAAACACACATTTCTAATGACGGAAAAATTTGTTTCTTCTCATAAAATTTAAAAAATATTGTGTGTAATTTGAATAAAATTAGTTAATAATAATTTGCTATCGGAAAAAATACAATGTCGTACATACATATGTACATATGTGTATCGCATAATCAGCATTCGTTATTGGCGTACGATGTTGGCAGACATTTTGACTGCAGCTTATGCATTTGTGCTATGTTGTTGTCTCTTATTCACCGTGCGAAACTAGTAAGAGAAAAAGAGAGCATTGCGCACTTTTTCACCACACTGGCTTTGAGCAAAAGGGGACAACAAACGTTTACATGCCGTGGTGAATTTTTTGTTTCATGTCTTTTTTTTGTTCACTCCCTTATGCCATTTTCGCGTGTATTTTTAAGCATATGACAGCTGTTTGTTTTACTTGGATTTCCGTATGCAATTTATTAATCAAATTGTCTCCCACAAAAGTACACTTTGTGATTAAAACTTAAAATCCCGTGTTATGCTATTTTAGGAACAAAAATATGCACATATTGGATCCAATCATCTATTAGAAATATGTTGTCGCATAGGACCAATACTAGACAAAGAGCTGCCACCGGCAGTATTGGGCATAGTCTCTTTACTTGGCACCGGTCGTCAGAGTTTGCTGCGCACCGAAGAAAGTATTTATCGGTCGCGTTCCTTGCTCGACTATTGCACACGTTTAAATGGCGTATCACTTCCAGATTCTTCAGTAACAAAACCAATTCACAATTTCCGTAAGTTTGCTGCAAAATTAAACGCATTTCAGACGAATCATAATTTTTTTCTTACTGCAGAAAAAGTTTTAATTGGGCGCGAATATGGTGGCCCAGTTCGTCGGAAATTATTGGTACCCATTAGTCTTTATAGCAAAACCAAGCTACTGAAACGGACAGTGGGCCATTTATCGTCTGTTTATTGTGTGCTATTTGATCGTACTGGACGTTATATTATAACGGTAGGTTATCAAAGTTTTCCATATAGACAAATAAAAAAATGTGTATCAATATTATGTTAGGGAGCGGATGATCTACTCATAAAAATATGGTCAGCATTGGATGGCAGATTGTTGGCTACTCTTCGTGGCGCGTCAGCAGAAATTACGGATATTGCAATCAATCTTGACAACACGATGTTAGCTGCTGGCTCTTTAGATCGTATTCTGCGTGTTTGGGACATGCAGACCACCTCGCCCATAGCTGTGCTTTCCGGTCATACCGGCATGATAACATCAGTGAATTTCTGTCCCTCACCACGCAGTGATCTTAAGTACTTGGTGACTACCAGCACTGATGGATCAATTGCATTTTGGTCGTATTCGACGCCACGTGGCCAAAAAATCACGTTCGCACCCAAGCCAATACAATATCACGAAAAGTTGCGCCCGGGCCAGGCTCAAATGATGTGTACGACTTTTTCGCCGGGGGGCATGTTTCTTGCCGCTGGTTCAGCTGACCATCATGTACGTGTTTACATTATGTCAGAAGATGGACCCAAACGTATACTCGAAGCTGAGGCATACACAGATGCAGTAGACTCAGTGCAATGGTCGCATAGAGGCTTACGTTTCATATCGGGCAGCAAAGATGGGACGGCACATATTTGGAATTTCGAATCACAACAATGGAAAAACATTAAGTTGTGTATGACAGAACGTCTACCAGGGTGAGTTATAAAGTGTATACTCGTGAGAGAAAAAAGATTTTTTTCAATTTTCACTTTAAAATAAACTTAAAATTTCTTGATTTAATTTTAATTACCAAATCTTTTGACTTATATAATACAATTGCAGTTGTCCGCTGCTAGAAGAGGGTAAAAAATTGAAAGTTACTATGGTCGCTTGGGATTGCTCGGACAAATATGTTATTACGGCCGTCAATGATTTTACAGTAAGTATCCTTTTAGTGAGTTATTTAAAAATAACAACTTAAACCCTTTCATAAAACTTTTTAGATTAAGATTTGGCATTCAAAAACTGGTAAACTGCATCGCGTATTGCGCGGTCATAAGGATGAACTCTATGTACTCGAATCGAATCCGAAGGACGAACATGTGCTACTCTCCGCTGGCCACGATGGACAAGTATTTCTGTGGGATATTGAAAATGGCGTTTCAGTGGCAGAGTTTGTAAACGATATCGACGGGCAAGGCCATGGTGGTGTTTTCGATGCCAAATGGTCGCCAGATGGCACAATGGTTGCCGCTACAGATTCACATGGTCATTTACTTATATATGGACTTGGCATCGGTCCGGATAAATACAAAATGGTAAACATTTAAATCTGTATGTTTTGCTTTTATTTAACTATACTTTCCTAATTTTCAATACAGCTTCCCAATGAACTATTTTTCCATACGGACTATCGGCCCCTGATGCGCGATGCATCCCAATATGTTGTTGACGAACAAACACAAGTTATGCCACATCTGATGCCGCCACCGTTTCTTGTCAATTCAGAAGGCAATCCTTATCCCGTACAGTATCAACGTTTTGTCCCAGGTCGTGAAAGTTGTACACGCGAACAACTGAGACAAATTTTAACAGTCGGTGATGATGGTACGGTTATTGTACCCAACATAAATGGCGCAGGTGGAAACTTTTCCCATATAGATCGGCTGATTGCCGTGTTGGCAAATCGTCAAGGTGCGGCACCAGCATCACCAGCAATTCCAGTTGGAAACAATGCAGCAGGTAATCATTCGCAACTGGATCGTCTTATAGAGGCACTTGCTAGCCGTCAAGGACAGGACCAGGCTCCCGATTCTAATAATCGTCCTTCAAGCAGCCGCTCAGCACCCGGAGGAGCGGCATCTTCGCGTTACAGCTTTGATGATGTACCTGGCCGACAATTTGAACAAAATATTGCAAGCCGTCAGGGTACAAGCCGTTCGCGAACAACTGATGAACAGCAGTTGGTGCCAATTACCGAACAGCCAGCACAACCACCGCAGATTAAATACTTTCGCCGTATTTATGTACGTCCCATGAAGTACCAACAATTACAAAATATCAAACAAGCTGTGTATGCGGCTGGTCAGTATGAGATGCAGGAGTATAAACGTGAGATGCGGCGACGTCCTATTATGATTACCACAGGAAATGTGGCAAGCGCACAATCGAGCAATGGTCGTCAACGTAATACGCGTGCCAACAACGGCGCTGGTGCGGTACGAGCACGTCGTCGTCAGGGCCAAGGCAGTCAATCACAGCCAGCATATCGCACGCGTGCTGTACGCGATCAGGAAGAGCTAGATGCGCCACCGCCTCCCGAAGAAGACGAGGAGGATGAAGAGAGTAACTCATCGTCGGGCGATACCAGCTACTCCAATGTTGAAGAAAACTTGGAGGAGTCGTCAGATGATTCGGATACCGAAAGTTCTGATTATTCGGATTGGGTGGCTGATACGCCCGGCCCGAACTTGGAGCCACCGAAACGCTCCAAACGCAAACCGCTTTCAAGACGTCGCACATTTAGCGATGATAGCAGTGACGAGACTACAGAACAAGCCACCACATCTGCGGGTGCAGCAGCCAAAGCAACCAAGCGCAATAAACGCATCGTTATACCGCCACCAGCGCCCAATGGTGAGATACCAGAGGTATATCGGCCTGCCGAATGGCTGTCGGAGGTTATACCGCGTAAGGCACCTTACTATCCACAAATGGGTGACGAGGTAGTATATTTTCGTCAAGGACACCATCGATATTTGGAAGCTGTGCGCGTTAAAAAGGTATACAAATTAACACACAGCTCGGAGCCATGGAACTTTCGAACATTACGCGATCGTGAATTTGTTCGCGTGATCGGCATTAAGTATGAAATACGTCCGCCGCGTCTATGCTGCCTCAAGTTAGCAATGATTGACGATGACGGCAATATGACTGGCACGTCTTTTAAAATTAAGTACCATGATATGCCAGATGTGCTTGACTTTCTGGTCTTGCGTCAAACTTTCGACTTGGCTGTACAGCGTAACTGGAGTGTTGGCGATCGTTTTCGCTGCATGATTGGTGATGGCTGGTGGATGGGACAAATTGAATCACGTTATGCACTTTCTGCTGACTTTCCTGATTCGTATTTCATGTGTTTCCGTGTGCGCTGGGACAATGGCGAGTATGAATATATGAGCCCTTGGGATATGGAACCGATTGACGAAAATCGTCTACCCGACGAAGTGGGTGGAGCAGTACCTGTATTGCAAGAGGAGATACGAGCTACTTTGTATCAACCAAAATCAGAAGAGTGGCATCGGGGAGATCGTGACGGTTCCTGTAGACGCATTATAAACGGTTTAGAACAGGTGAGGAAAGGGTTTCAAGAAGTTCACACACATGTTTTTGTGTTTGAAATTCCTTCACGTTATAAGTGATGCGACAGTAAGACTTTTAAACAAAAGTGCAAATTTATGTGGAAATATCTATTTTTTTTTTTACAGGTCATGCGTCTCTCCATTGCCGAACACTTTTTGGCTCCAGTTGATCTGAATGTTTATCCCGACTACGCCTATCTAATTGAGTACCCAATCGATTTGACAACAATAAAGTCACGTTTTGAAAATCATTTTTATCGACGCATAACCTCAGCACAATTCGATGTACGTTACTTGGCGACCAACGCAGAGAAGTACAATCGTTCTCATACGAATATTGTAAAACATGCGCGCATTATAACAGATCTCTGTTTGCGCGTAATTAGGTGAGTGTCAAACCGAAAAGGAAGCGCGTAACAAAAATTCAAACTATTTTATTTACCTCCTTACTTCTTTGTCTTGATTTTGGTTATATAGGGAGCACAATGATATTGATGTTGCGGCTGTTTATCATCAATTGGTTGATGTTTATCATTCATCGGAAACAGAGAACGATAATGAATCGGATGTGGTGCCCTCGACGAGCACCGGGCCATCTACATCGGCTGCGGCGCGCCAAAAGATGTCAGCGACTCGAAGGTTTGTATAAAAAGTCGATAGCAGAAAATTGCAAAAAAAAAAAAGGTTTAAAACTCTGTCGCACATTTCACATACAGTGACTCGACAAGTGAACATTAGTTGATTCACATTCACAATGTTAAACTAAATTTTTTTTTTGCAATTTTTCTATAAAAATATTTAGGGAGTTCACGAGGCGTTGTATACTGGCGTAACCATAAAGGTCTATGAATTTTTAGTGTTGAAAAATAGTTGGTGGTGGTTTCAAGTCCTCTAACCATTTATTTAAACTTTTAAAGTTTACGACATACAGCAATACGAACTCTCTGATTGTCTAATCTTCAACCAAAACCATATAAATTAAATGTATAAGCCCTTCTAGAAGGCATGCAAGGAAGCACTTCTTTCAGCCCTTTTTAGGTACGCCTCTTAGAATGGCTTCACTTAAGAAGTCCTACCTAAATTATCTTCTGGGTCATTAGACTAAAATTCTGTGGGCTATAACTGCATACACAAAAATGTGCTAAAGATCCAGATTAAAAAGTTTGGAATTTTGAAGAAAATTTAACTTGAAAAATCGTGTGAATATTAAGGAAAAAAAAAATTAACACGCACTCACTTGTTTAATTCGCTGTACATATACATACGTGCTGATATCGAATTCCTTGTCAATCTCAATCAAACAGATCAAGTCGCATTCGTTCAGATGGTGACTGGCGTACCGAATGTCGCCAACTATTGGACTTAATGTGGCAACGCAACGATTCTTTGCCCTTTCGTGAACCAGTCGATACACTGGAATTCCCCGACTATCTTGAAATTATTTCATCACCAATGGATTTGCGTACAGTTAAGGAGGATTTACTTGGTGGCAATTATGAAGACCCGCTGGATTTTGCAAAGGATGTACGTTTGATATTTCAAAATTCGCGCAACTATAACACCAATAAACGTTCACAAGTAAGTTCGAAAATTATCTACTTCTTGTACGCCGCTCAGCTGTTAGAGCGTTGCTTTGCTTGAGTGTAGCTTTTGTGCAAATTTTATACTCTTTGAGTTGTTTTTGTGGTGGCTTTCTCCAATTCCTCACGGCTGTTTAGTTTTTTTTATACATACTACCAATTCTGTTAAGTAGTAGTGTTTTATAATTTTACCTACATATATTTGAGCAAGAAACCTTACATCTATTAAGCTCTAAGGGGTACAACATTTTATATTTTTTTAAATTCTTTTTTCCTTATTAACAGCACCCCTTTCTGCTTTTATTTTGATCGTCGTTCATTAACTCAGTTTTCTTTATAAATTTTTATAAGTTTATTATTAGATTATTATTATTATTATTTTTTTTTTAATTTTTTCATGACGCAGGATCGTAGAGTAATATGAGATTAAAACCAAAAAAGCTCGCTACCCATTGGTTTTTGCAAAAAGTAGGCGATACGCCGAAAAAGAAAAAAATGGTATATCGCTCAAGCCGACGTTTTTTATGAATGTCGTAAAGTAGCGAAAGTGGTGAGAAAATCGTTGCTAACTGGCCACACAGATGTGGCAATGCAGCAATTTAAACTGAACAATAAAGAAAAAAAACTTGAATTAATTATTTTTTATTATTTTCAACAAAGTTGCTAACAAATACCTGAATGAAAAAATTATATGCTCAACAAATTTTTTCATCTCTTTAAGCCCTTATCTGGTCTTCGAGTCGTAAACCACGCAAACGACAGAATAAAAAAAATATGTATAGTATGCCGCTTTATAGCAAATTCAATTTTAGTGCAATAAAATACAAGTTTCAAGTGGCTATAATATACCGTTGCTTCTGCTCAAAAAATGTCCACAACCGAAAGGTATGCGTTAACTGTATAAAAATAAGCTTATTTAAGACAGGAGGAAAGTAAAAAAGAAACTTTTTTCAGCGTAGATTAGGAATGTTAATCCCGGGATTCCGACCTTTTTAAGGTCTCAAAAATCCCGGGATTCTTGGCAAATAATCCCGGGATTTTTGGGATTTGTAATTTACACTGACGGCAATAATAGAAACTCCTTTTCTTGACCAGTATTGGCTATATTGCTTTTTTCTTTATTTAATAATTAATATTATTTTTTAAATGTCTAGCCCATTATACACATATAACATATAACACCGCGCGATAGTAAATTTTAAACACAAATACCAATATATTCGCGAAACCAGGGGCCAAATATAGTAAAATTGCGTTTTTAGTTTTTCACTCTGACGTCAGTAATTCAAAAATGATGTATAAAAATTCAGAGCAATGAGCTTAGGGAAGAAGCATGGGTATCAAACTAAAGAACAAATCCCGTAGAATTCAAACAGATTCATTTTTGGTGCAGAAGGACTGGTAAGTATTTAAAATGTCCTTTCAAAATTTTAGTTTTTAACCGACTTCCAAAAAAGGAGGAGGTTATGAGTTCGTCGGAATATTTTTTTTTTTTTTTTTTATGTATGTTACCGCATAACTTTGCACCACGTCAACCGATTTCAATAAGGAAAGGTAGTGTCTCAGAGGTGGTTCCATACTAATTTGGTTTAGATCCGATCATTGGATCATGAAATATATAGATATATATATATTTTTTTTAAGTCGGTTTTTTTTTTTGCTAAAAATTACTTGTTCTTAATTCTAAAGAAGGTTCCTCTTGCATTTGGTACCCATATTTTTATTCTAAATGTATTGCATGGAATATTTTAAATAATTTTTGTAATTAATCCTATTTTTGAAGTTACAAACTCCTTTAAAATAAACCCTGACGTCAAAGAGAAAAAATAAAAACGCCACTTTAAATAAAAAGTAGGTTTCAAACCCATTTATTTATTATTTATTTTATGGTAGGAGAGCTTCTCAAACAATATAAAGCAATTTTTTTTAGATTTAAGCTGTTGAAAAATACTGAATAACTATATCCCAGGATTGTGATAACGACATCCCGAAAATCCCGGCATCGGAAAAAGCTGAAAAATTAACATCCCTAGTGTAGATACACATACTACTTACCTGACCTTTATACCGCAACCGCTTTTAGAGCGAATGTATTAGAGGACGCAAATATAGGCTCGCGTTGCTGTTGTAACAGGAGTCATATTCCCCAAATAATTTTTGGGGAGTGTTGCTGAAGTTACAGTCCTTGGCCAGATATAAATCTGGGTCGTTCCGGTTACGTAGACCCGACTGTCGTGGGCACGCGTACTTTTCTCTGCCATGTACGCATATTCATTTGACTGGGGTATATGGACACACGTTGGTTTGACAGAATTTTCAGCAAAAATCCAAATTTGCAGCGGTAAGTAGCTGTTAAGTGGCAGTTAGACGTGGCAAGTGCAAGTAGTTTTCAAAAACCAGACGGAACAACTTGACGAAGGTTTGCCAACTTGCCTACACACGGCTTATTTACCACCAACTTCTAGCGGTGTGAAGGGCTTTTTATATTTAAATTAGGGATGTACTATTAATCAATTATTCGAACAAGCTGATTAATCAAAGTGATTGATTTCCCGATTAATTACATTTTAGAAAATCAGAATCTAATTAAATTTAATAACCGGAAAATTGATAAATCTGCAAGAAATTCTTCACATCGCAGCATTGGAAATCCATTGCTTTACCGATTTTCCTCCGAAATTTCGTAAAAGAATCGAAGTGTGCACAGTTTACTTCATTTTAGAAAATTCGGTAAAAAACCGGGTGAGATTTTTACGAATTCTTTAAAATTTCTATACTAATTCAGAATGCTCGGAAAAAATGGTTTGCAGGTATAGTTGGGTGGTTTGACATTCAGGCCTATCGCCAAATCCATGTGAATAAATCGTTCCCATAATTTAAAATGCAAAACAAAAACAAATTAAACCAGAAAAGTTGGTAAATTGAACATTAGATGTGTACTCGTATACAGCGGACAAAATTATCCAGCAGCAAACAATTCTGAGAATTTAGCAGCATTCGCTCTCAAAGAGACAAAATATCCACAGAAGTAGGAGAACCCAAAATTTGCAAAAACTTGCAACCTTCGAAACAGCTGATCACACTTCCACAGTTGACACTGGTGGTTCATTTGGCAATTTATTTTTTTGATTAGTACATTTTCCCCCGATTTGGCATTTTATACAATTGAATAGTTTTGGATAAGAAAAGCCTTTTTAAAATACAAATTAATTATATCGGAATGAATAAGTTATTTTTCTCATAATTATTTGTGATATCACATTGTGACGTATTCAGAAATAAGAGAATCTCCTCCACACATCCATCATTGATCCAAAAAAATTTAAAAGATATAGCTACAGAGGAGGCCTTCCTCTTCCTCTGTTACCAGCATCGCGGCCCGCGTTGAATATTATCAGAGCAGGAGCGTTTCTGTCCATTCGAACCGCGAAGGCAGAACAGACATACGCCAGCAATTGTACGCTCTTGTAAAGTATTGTGCCTGAGCAGTTCAGTTCTGCGGCTCTTATTATCTTCTCCAACATCAGATTAAAGAAATCACACGAAGGGGAGTCCCCTTGTCTGAAATCTCGTTTGGTGGCTCGGAGAGGTCTTTCCCAATTCTGACGTTGCTGGTGGTATTGCTCAACGTCATTTTACACAGCCGGATGCCAAATTTAGACATCGCGGCATATAGGCAGTGTCGATCCTTTTCTCGCGGGTCTTTTCCCGGATTTGGCGTATTAGAAATACCTGGTCTATGGTAGATTTGTCAGGTCTAAAGCCACACTGATAATACCTAATCAGTTCGTTGACGGTGGGCTTCAGTCTTTCACACAATACGCTCGATAATACCTTGTAACCTATGCTTAGAAGGCTGATCCCGCGGTAGTTGGCGCGAAAGGCGGGGTTGCCTTAACTTAAATTCCAGTCGGCGGGCATGCGTTCATCTGACCATATTCTGCATAAGAGTTGATGCATGCACCTTATCACCTCCTCGCCGCCGTACTTGAATAGCTCAGCAGGCAGGTTGTCAGCTCCAGGAGCTTTGTTGCTTTCCAAGCGCGCTATTGCTTTCGTACCTCGTCATAGTCAGATGGTGGAACATCGACTTCGTCATCATCGACTGGAGACTCGGTTTCGTCTTCTCCACAGCTTTTAGTACTGCTTCCATTTAGGTGTGTTTTAGGCATCAGTCACTAGGTCGCCATTGTTGTTCTTTCAATAGGTCGCTCTGGTCGTAAAACCTTCCGTAAGTCGCCTACTTCTCTGGTAAAATTTTCGGGCATTCTTCCTGTCGGCCAGCATTTCAAGCTCTTCGCACTCACGTATTTCGGCCACTCTCCTTATTGCGGCAAATAGGTCTCGCTTCCCTCTTCAGATCCCTATAGCGGTCCCACATCTTTTTTCTCTGCAGCTTCCTGAGACTCCTCATCGTACCAGTTGTTCTTTCGGGCTCGCTGAAATTCGACTACTTCTTCGGCGGCGGTACTTAATAAGCGGGAAATATGGGTCCACTGCTCGCGTATGTCGGTTTGTTGAAGAGTGCTCTCTGAGAGCAGGTGTGAGAGTCGAGTAGCGAAAGCGCTGGCTGTTTGTTGTGATTGATCGCCGAACGCGATTTTGACATCGTGTCGGGGGCAGCGCTCATATGTTCGTTCCAAGCGCTCATAGAAGAGATCCTTGGACGCCTCGTCTTTCTATTCCGTCGGGGCATGGGCGCAGATGAGCGATATGTTGAAGAATCTAGCTTTAATGCGGATTATGGCCAGTACTCGGCAACGGAGTCTATCTTCTACCACGAATCCAACACCGAATTTGCGTTCCTTTGCGTGGCATTTGTAGTAGACGTCGCAAGGCTTCACACTTTTCCTTGCCCCGTCCATCGCATTTTTTGGATGGCTGTGATGTCAGCCTTTGCCTTCCCGAGGACATCACCCAGCCGGACCTTCCCCATTAAGGGTCCGGATATTCCATTTGCATAACCTCAAATCATAGTCCTTTATAGTTTGCCGTGGTCGTCATCAAAAAAATGGGGTCTCATCCGAGGCTTGTTGGAATTTTTCATTGGGCGGGGTTTTAGCGTGGCGGGACCCTAACCTAGC